GCTGATCATTCAGCAACTTATGTGATAAAACAGATTTCTAAAAGAGCTTTTCCCTATATGCATCTAGGAAAATGATTGGTAAATACTTGATTTGACATATTTTTAATTTTTTTTTAATTTAATTATTAAAAATATAATGTGAGTAGAATTGATTCAATTAGTTTCTATATTCTGTGTTTATAATTGTATTTTTTAGTTTGTTTTCATTTTATTTTAAATAAAAGGCCAAAACCCCTATTTGCACCCTCCATTTATTTTTTTTTCACGGTCAACACCTTCCAGAATTTTTCCTCTCTATTCACACCCTCCATTTTTCAAAACCCGTGAAAAACCCAATATTTTAACGAGCCGTCACGGCACCGTTAATAACTGTTAAAAATTGTAATACGTGCCATCAAACAGTAACATAATCCAATGTGAACTTTTTTTTTTTGATGATATGGCATAATTAAACCATAATTAATTTTAATTTTTTCATTTTCTTCTTTCCCGCATCATCTTTACCATCTTCCTCTTCATCCTCTTGGGTTCCTCATGGAACTAGGAACCCAGAACTTTATGTCACATTTATTAATCCAATGTTGGACTTTTTTTTATAATGTGTTATAATTAAATAATCATTAATTTTAATTTCTTCATTTTCTTCTTTTCCGGCATCATCTTCACCATCCTCGTCCTCATCCCCCTAGGTTCCTCGTGAAAACCAAGTTCTGAGTTCTTCGTGAAAACCAAGTTCTGAGTTCTTCGTGGAACCTAATTTCACATGAATGCCTACCAAGCTAAGATTTTCATCCACGCAATTATAAGTAAATGAATACTGCACAAAAACATGATAAGCATCTTCTACTCCTTTCCCACAAAAGACGAAAAAAACTCAAATTGGCAACTTATTCAGAAACAATCTCCAAGCAAAAAAACTCACCTCTCCAACAAAAAAATTATTCCAAATTGCTTTGCATAAAATCGGAAGCTAAGAAAAATACATTCAAAATAAAAAAATAAAAAAAAAAGGTTGGGTTCTGGGTTCCATGCAATTCGGGTTCCTGCGGGAACCAGATCTGGGTTCCTCGCGCAGGAGCCCAGAACTGGGTTCCGCGCAGGAACCCGAATTGGGTTCCCCGCGAGGAACCCATTGAGAAGAGGATGGAGAAGATGGAGGATGGTGAAGATGATGCCGAGGATGAGGGAAAAAAAAAAAGAAAAAGAAAAAATGCCATTTATGTAATTGTTTGGTAATATTATAATTTTTTATTATTTTCACTGTATACGTGGCGTCCACATCTGTAAAAAATAAACCACGCTATAAAAAAAAAGATCCACGTTGGATTACTAACGTTACATAGTGCCACGTCAATTTTTGAGTGCCACGTACTACATTTTTTAATGGTGCCGTGATGGCTCGTTAAAATATTGGGTTTTTCACGGGTTTTGAAAAATGGAGGGTGTGAATAAGAAGGAAAAATTTTGAAAGATGT